AAGAAACCCACAACGCCACACAGGGGTCTCTCTATCGAAAACCGGTTTTTCGCGTTTTGAGTCACACCCCGGTGCCCCGGGGGGGGGGGGCACGTGGTTTATAGCGTTCTCTTTTTTATTATTATCGTTCTAAATGGTTCACAGCGTTGTCTTTGTGGTCGTTGTTATATGTGTTTTAGAGTGTTAACTTTCTGGTTGTTGGTTCACGTAGTTTGTAGCATTCAGTATTTTTCCATTTATTTTTTTTTGCACTGAAAAGTTAATCAGTGGCAAATAGGTGAGTAATTTTCTGTAAAGTAGGTCAGTTGTAGCAACTGAATCAACTTAAAGAGTTATCACACAGTGGGTGGGCCCGGCATGGCCAGGTGGTTAAGGCGCTCGACTCGCAATCTGAGGGTCGGGGGTTCGAATCTCCGTCACACCAAACATGCTCGCCCTTTCAGCTGTGGGGGCGTTATAATGTGACGGTCAATCCCACTATTCGTTGGTAAAAGAGTAACCCAATAGTTGACGGTGGGTGGTGATGACTAGCAGCCTTCCCTCTAGTCTTAGCGCAGATAGCCCTCGTGTAGCTTTGCGCGAAATTCAAAACAAACAAACAAACAAACACACAGTGGGAGATTATGTTTGTCAGTTTACAGAGTTACAACGCTAAAATCCGGGTTCCATTCCCCACGTTGTACACAACAGATAGTTCAAGGCGTCTTTGTTCAGAAAAACCAATAAATCCTTACTTGGATGTTTACGAATATTAATTAGATGCTAATAAAATACGTTAATGATACAGTATCTTAAGTACCTTGGCAATGTGGTTATGGCACTCAACTCGCAATATGCTCACCACACATGCTCGCCCTTTCAGCTGTAGGGGCGTTATAAGGTTACGGTTAATCCCAGTATTTGTTAGTAAAAGAGTAGCCCAAGAGTTGGCGGTGGATGATGATGAGTAGCTGCCTTCCCTCTGTTCTTTCACTGCTAAATTGATAACGCAGATAGCCTTCATGTAGCTTTGCGCGAAATTCATAAAAAACGTAATTGCCCTGTTTTTCAAAATCATAAATAATATTCAACGTTAAGCTGGTACACAATTAAAAACATTTTATTTAGGCCTATCTATGGC